AAGCAAAAAGAAGGTCAGTCAGCAAGGTTTGAGGAGGAACGCTCAGCTGTTCTGGCTGCTTTCTACGTCACGTTTTGTCGAGGCATCGCTTTGAAGAACGCGTAGTTTTTGATTGTGCCTCTGCGTTAAGGGTGCGAAGCTCTCTATGTTACCAGGTGTTAGGGGTGAACGATCGAGCTCCTCAGAGATTTGGAAGGAGACGGCGATGCACATGCCAATACAACCTCCCCCCACTGAAGCAGCGCATTCACTGTCTCTTGTCACCCAAGTCGGAGGGATACGTAAGGGATGAGCCATTCAAGATTCTCGCACATAACATGAATTTCGCAACAGGGCTTTATTCTACCCAGAGCGCGGCGACGTAGTTTTGGACAACCCCACTGAAGTAGAGCAGTTCGACGATTAGGCTGCCATAATTTCAGCGTGTACCTGAGCACAAACGTCGATTAGGCATCAGCTCACTCAAGCCATCGCCTCGATGAACCTTTCCACTCAGGTCTACCGAAGCAGCAGAGTAACCGTTCTTCTCACTTTCTCTCGAGAAAAGAGAACTTTGAAGAACGTTTATTATGAGGGAAAAACTCGGGACGCAGAGAACCTTCCTGAGCGCAGCAGAAGCGCTCTCTTGTCGTAGGACCCCTATGTGAAGGGGGTGATTTTTGACACAGATACATTTATGACTTATTTGATGTATTGAGCGACCTTTTGATCTTCAATTCACCGTGTTGTGATCCTCATGTTGAGATATGGTAGCTAGTCAGCAGAGCCATCGCCTACTTAACCAGGACATCGCCTTATTAGTATCCTGGAGGAATCCAGTGCCTTATACAGGGAAATTCGATTTGACCCTTAGATCATGACTTGTACGTAAATCAAGAGGTTCGATAGCTTGCATGAATTAGGTGGGATTGCAGTGGGTGTCCAAATGGCAGCTGAAGCACAATAGCAGCAATGAGGCAGCGCCGTCTTCCTTGCTTTTATCATGCGACCAAGTAGCCCGCAACCTGGGTCGACAATCATACACACCACCGTCACGTACTACGCCATGTGTCCTCAATATCTTGACGAAAGACTACTTAGACACGATGGCGACCGGGTACCAGTCCCAAAGACTCTGCAGACGTAAGAGTCGTTTGGTGCGCAACGCTGTGATAGGGACGCAGCTACAATTGCCATCTGAACGACGCCCACAAGACGCAGTTCTGCATCGAGCAACTCGTCCAAGCCATCCAGTCTCTTGACTTGAGGCTAGGCCTTCTGAGCGAGTTGATTGCACAATGATTTCACTTCAGAGGCAACCATATTCGACTGTCACTTAATCTCGGCCCTTATCACGGATGTAACTTAACTGGTAACTGGCGATCTCTCTGAGGCAAAAATCATACAATGTTCATTCGGCTAAGGTTTCGGCCACTCGCCTGCGTCAGAGCCTGGAAGACAAAAAACATTTGCGACTCATCCTGACCAAACGACGTTCGGACATCAGCTTAGTTCAAGTGTGGACTATAGATATCTAGGAAAGTATTGCAAATCACAATAGCTAACCCACTTTAGATGTCAAAAAAGGAAGACCGTTTACCCTCCTTTTGAATTGCGTATTTAAGATATTCGCAGTGGGTGGGCCCCGTGCGTCCTGCCCCTGCCTTTGACGCCGGTGGCAATTGGAAACCACACAGGTCGAGGAACGAGGCAAGCTCGTTAGTTACAGCAAGACATTAATCTTTCCCATTCATTTTTGCATTCTTAGCGCTGATCCAGAAAGCTTCAGGAGTCTTTCGCGCTTAGGTCGTCTGTTCCCGCATCGAGACTCTGTTTGATAATCCAAACTCCGCATCTTCGCGGTGGTGCCTTCTATGGTCTCCCAGGAGCGTTTTAGGCCTTGATTTCTTCAGGCCATCCAGTTGTTCCTTAACCCTGCATAATAGGGGTTTTCTGGTCTCGCCTATGCATTCATCTTTACAGAGGTTGCATGTGGTCAAGTAGATCACACCTGACGTTGTGCAATCACCCCCTTGCCCACTGGTACAGATGACACAATGGGGGGTCATGCAGAAACGATTATAGAGACGGTTTTGTACCATTGTCTGCCTTAGATTTCTAGGAGGACTCCAACCGCCCGGACCGTCTCATCGAGCCCACACTTTCGCAAGGCCATCCTTACGTCTAAATTGACGAAGTCCGACACGAAAGGAAGGCAAAAAGCACCTCCTTCGAATTCTAAGTCGCTGGCTCGTGTTGTTTTCGTTGGATGTTCTGCCTGAGTGCTGGTTCCTCGGTAGACATCCACAGGAGAGAGCCACCTTTCTAGCTAGCTCCATGGATTCTACTTGTTCTTGACCACCCGATGAGACCGTGAGAGCCCGCGCAATTTTGCTTGGATGCGCCGACCTGAAACGGACTAAAATATTCTTGCTGGCAGGCTTGCTGTACTATTTCCCTCGCTCAAGCTGGATCTGCATGTTGAGAAAAGGCAACCACCTTCCTTAGGTTTCTCTCGTGTAAACCGTATATTGACAGCCTGGCTGTTCAACAAATCAAGCACGTGTCCATTTCTTTCTGGGCTGAGCAGGCAACAAGCAATCGTCTACGTAGCAACAGTGGAGGACAGGCCGGCGATCCAAAACGGCTTTTTCAAATTTTGACATGTAGGAATGGCTAACACGGGTGCTAGTCGTTTACCAGTCGCTAAACCCCTGATCTGCTTGGAGTATCACCCTGACCCCTTAAATATAGAGCAGTCCAGGCACTTCTTGACCAACGTCATGACTTGAGAGACCGAAAGCTCATACTGTGTAAAGGGAGGTTACGTCAATTGATTCCATGACGAGGTTTCTTTTAAATCGACTCTCTCGCCGTTGGTCAAGGAAATTCACGGTATTGCTGCGATGGGCAGGAATGAATGTTAGCAACAGGGCGGACACGAGGTTTAACAGCCAGAAAATTCTGTCTGTTGGACCCTTACACTGCTTATTATGGGACGAGCCTTGAAGTCCAAGGGGTTGAGTGAGGTTAACGTGTTTGGTGAAAGTTTATGGATTTTAACGAGGACATAGAGTGCCGGGCAGACTGGGAGGTCACACCTCAGACGTGTGCTTACTGTTTTAGGCAGATCCGCAATCCATGCAATGTCCGACCAAACTCTGTTCAGACGGCGGTATTGCCTTTTCTATTCGTCCTCTGATGATGGCCAACAAATGGACAAATCCTGTAGAAGGGATTCGGTTATGGCAATATCCAAATTTCGTGGCATAAACACGAACACGCCCACCCCCCCCCCCCCCCCCCCCCCCCTTGTCGCTGACTGATATTTTGATGGTGTTGGAATTCACGAGATCGATAAGTTCGTTTAACCCCCGTTTTTGCGATGCATATTGGATGTGGGCTGCCGGTGAATGTTTTGCCTCAGGATATCGTAACTAAAAATAGCAAAAAGACGAAACTTCACATCCAAGGCGGGATTGAGGTAATATGGCCGAAAGTATAGCGATCTGAAGGGGATCGCAGGAACGTTTGATCCTGCTGGCTGTTCACGAGGACTTTCCAGTAGCTTGGCCTTGCGACGCAGGATGTCTTGTAAAGCCTAAAGATCACACAGGACTCTCCGCGGTACTCCACGACCTATCGATTGCACTTGAACGAAAATGGGACCTATGTCCACTTCAGTTGATCCCATTTGATTACTCGATCATAAAGCGAAGAGATAGTGATTGTGGCAGAATACTTCGAGAAAAATAACTGTGAAGGAATGAAGTTACTGTCACGATAACAACCTAGGCCGTCCTGTGCACGAATCATTGGTTTGATGTCTGGAACTGCAGAATTCAGAAAAAAANAAAAAAATCCCGTGAACAGAAAGTAAGGAAGTTATGTGTATCTGTGGATGATAATTTCCCAGTTTTTTCTGAAGAGTTTTGAGTACCGCTCTATAATACTCGTGCTTCCCAAACGCCGTATCCTACGTCGACGCTTCTTTGAAGACCACTTGTGCTTCTCTTTTTCCACATATGTACGCTAAAGTCTTTAGGGGTATTTTACTCGAATCTCGTTCTATATAAAAGGGAGAAAATTAGAAATGAAAGACTTTATAAACAACTGATGCAAAACGTCTCGTTTCAGGATATGAGCAAACAGACACGCAGATTTAGATAAACTGTAAGGATTGTTAAGCAAAGATGCGAAATACTAGGATGTTTACTTGATGGTCCATCGTAATCTATCAGGGCGTAGCTGCGGCGCGATGGAGAAGCTCGAGGAGTAGAGTGTGGGCTCGATACGGTTCGCTTCTGGATTCAGCCCATTGCTACCAGTCGCCTCTACCAGGAAAGGAACACACGACGGGTGTGGTGCGGTTCACGCCTCAATATAATGAGGTCATTTCGCGTGATAGGCGGGGCCTACGCGGACGAGACGCGCTATACATCATGCTTACCCTCACCATCATGATGGGAGAAATAGGAGCCTCTAAAAGACAAGTAAAAAATGATCAGCCATGCATGTTTGCAGAAGGACTAAGTTTATTAGGATTGGAACACTTGAAAATAACTCTTATTTCGAACGTTTGATAAGTAATTTGTTGACTTATAAACTGAAACCTTGATCTCGAAGGGGCTTCATTGTCATAGTAAAGAGATTATAGTACTATTCTACTATCACACCTCCGAAAACTCAAAAGTTTAATTTTCGATGAAACCTCGCCTATAGGGGTAATCCGATGTCCTGATGATGAATATGACCTTCACTTTTGGCGCTGGCGCCATTTGGCGCCAAAGGTGTTTTCACAAAATTTGCTGAAAACTTGCGTTTAGGAGTTATTTGAGGTCCTGATAACGAATATAACATCCATTTTTGTGTCCTAAAACAACGAATAAAACTCTTATTTAGCCACGCCATATGGCTCGTGGTGAAGAGAAGGGTGGTGGCTTCTGAGACCGAGCTTTGGAAAAGGAACGAATCTCAAGGAGTGTTCCGCCTTTCCATCCTTCATTTCTGTCACAGCGACTCTACGTTTTGTGTATGGACACCAGTTTGTGGGTCTCAAAACTCAACTGGTGATTGACCTGGAGGTGCCGGTAAGCATTGGGCAGTGCGGCGATCTGACTGTATGCCCTCCAGCAGTCACTAATAATCGTCGTGCCAGGTCTTATATACTTTCCGATAAGACGAAGCAGAGTCGGAGCGTCCCTCCTTCGCACTAGCCTCAGAAATGCTTGTCCGCTCCCTCTCTCGATACCGCCAAAAAGCCACTGGTGTCTGCGTACCCATCGGCCACGATTGTACTTCCTTCTCGCCACCAGCGTTTCGTCAATTTCCACTGTGCATCCGAACCCACCAACAACTGGAGGATTCCTTCTGTACATCGCGGAGGAGACATCGCGAAAGTGCTGCTCCCACTGGGCAACACTACAGTGACCGATGTTAAGTTCGTAAACCTTGTCCTTCACGGTATTCATGTCGCGCAGCCAAAAGTAGCTGAGCGCAAACACGGCCGACTCTGCGAGGTTCTAGTTCTCGAAGAAGGATCCTTTCCAAGCTGAAACATACACCTTCGTTTCGTTCGATGGCCCACTTCGGCATGTTCGACGGTGGCACACCCGTTGTGGTGCTCATCAAGGACACATAGATCCTTGACAAAGAGGGCACAATGGCAACGCCAGCAGCCCCATGGATCGCAGCCATTCCTGTAGATCCAGATGATCCATTTGCATCTTCTCGTACACGTCCTTCAACGAGAAATCGAGGAGTTCTTGCTGGCGATTGCACCTTCTCAGAGCGATGAGAGCCATCGCAACACACATTCACAAGTTGTGAAATGAAGTATTGATGTTCGTCTCATCAGGGGTTTGTCTTTAGCCATGGGAAAGTGCCTACGTCATCCCCTTCCCCACAACCTGGCTGTCTTCAACCATGGGAAAGCGCCTCGGGTCACATCGTCTCACACAACCTGTATGCCTTGTCGTCGCGCCAAATAGCCTCAGCGCGTAAAATGGATGTTATATTCGTTATCAGGACCTCAAATAACCCCTAAATGCAAGTTTTCAGCAAATTTGGTGAAAACTCCCTTGGCGCCAAATGACGCCAGCGTCAAAAATATTACCAGGGCATCGGATTGCCCCTATAGGCGATTTCACCGAAAATTAAAATTTTGAGTTTTGGGGGGTGTAATATTAAAATAATACCGAGATTAGCACTATTTCATGTTGAAGCCACGGACTAGTGCACAACTCATTTGATCCATCTCGGGTATGGGTACATTCACCCAGAACTGGATGGAAGCGGCTAACCGCGCTACGAAATTCGTGGTGATTGAAACGGCTCTGGCACCTATCATTGGGACGGGTTTCATGTAGATTGAATAAATACGGCCAGCTAATGCTACTAATCTATCCCTTTTCAATTTTGTGCCCCGATGATAGGCGCCAGAGTCGTTTTAATCACCACGAATTTCGCCGCGCGGTTCCCATCCAGTTCTGGGTGAATGTTCCGTCCCCATTCATCTCAACTGAAGAGTACTGAAGGGTAGGCAGTCGTTTCACGCGATCCCTCTCATAGCGCCGCCCATTCAAGGCGGTTTGCAAGCTGGACAACTCGTCCAAGTGATCGGGCAACCTACTACCTCTCCAGCTGACAGAAGCTCGGTTGATAATGCCTCTACTATTAGATGCCGAATTGCGGACCTACTTGTATTCTGCCTGTCTACACAGCCTATTTGGCTTTTCATGATGCTTGGACAAGTTTTTCAGCTCGCAAACGGCGCCGAATGGGCGGCGCAATGGGAGGAATCGCGCCATATGACATACACCCGTACTGAAGCGATCGCCACGAAACACGTCCGTAACTTGCCGGGTGGTGCACCGCGTGTTAGGTGCGCGAAGAGCTCTGATGGGGTCACGCATGCATCGCACGTCTCCACACACGCCGGTGCACCCCGAGGGAAGGAACTTACGTGCGTCCGAGGATGCGCGCGGCAACTTGCGCGGCGGAGTTCGTGACTACTTGTACGACTCCGACGCCAATTTTAGGAGCACACACTCGAAGTAGAGTAGTTTAGTAGAGTCAGATGATCATTCTAATCTACTCTACTTCAAACTTGGGTCCCAATCATAGGTTTTGAAGTCGTTCAAATCGTCACGAACTTCGCCGCGCAATTTGCCGCGCGCATCTTCGGACGCATGTATGTACCCATACTCGTGCGCTCCTTATCGCCGATAACACGACCCTGCTTCAGTTCTTATTATTCTCGTCATAATGAAGTATTATACCGTCAGGTAAATAACCGCGTGGCAGATAATGCACGATTGAGAAGACATAGCCGTTGCAAGGCCAAAAGTCCCAATAATCCAGAACATGTAACGCCCCTCGTTCTTGTAACTCGTGTGGTATACGTAACCTATTGTTTGCCGTCACTGACTAACGTTCATTTGTGTTGTAAAGATGAACTACTGTAATTCGAAAAGTATTAAATTGAGATTCTTGCGATCCACTTCCCACTGGCCGCGCCTAATAATCATCCAGTGTCTTCGTCGAACTTCTGACCCAAGGAAACAATTAAAAAATTCGAATGATTGAAGTTAATGCAATGCGTTTCAAAAGTATGTGCACACCCAACATTTTGTTTTTTTTTTTGGGAATACCATAGCTTTCTGTAACCTGTGACCTTCATCATTCAATTCCTTGTGTGCGGTAACCTTCCAACACTTTCTCTGAGAAAACATCGTAGCTGCTAACACAACTTTTTATTAAAGAAAAATTTTTTCTTCGTTTCAAAAGTATGTGCACACTTAGCAAAAAACAAAAATA